AGAAATATAATACAGCATACACTGTAAATTTAGAATAGAATGCTTGACCATAAACTGTACACTAGTACAAGACATCTCAATGGAAAATAAGCTTGTTTATTGAGTACCATGCTCCCTTCTCTCTCCATTTCATTTCTCTATTTTTGGGGGAGCCCTAGCCCCAGTGCCTCCCCCTGGTTCCTCCACTGATAGTTGCTTGACGATAAACCTACCAGCATGTTTGAGTGGTTGTCACAAAAACAAACAATCAATTATCAAAACTGTAAAGATGAGGCTGTTAATTTTGACTTGCTGGCTCGTAAGTATATTTTTTAATTTTTTTAAATTGTCACATTTAGGCCTTGGCTTACAGTATGTCTTTAAGAACAGTGTCGAACAGTGGTGTAATGCTTATGCACTCTCATGTCATGATCCACAGGGCCCCCTACCCATATGGTCCTCGATCTACAACCCTGACCCAAACAAAAGGGCTTTCTTGGTACATAAATAGATCGTAAATAAAAATAAATTAGGCATCATCTGGATGATTATATTCAAAGTACTATTAAGGCAGTCAGCTTTTATTGTATTTATTTATCTTTTATTCTATTTCAAATTCCTGGATCTGCAATTTACTTCTTCATTAAAAACATTTAGAATACAATGACACTGACATACATGATTAAAGACGAGCCCATCTGAAGTTACACACTGGAACTGGTGACCGGCAGGACCCATAAAGGGCCCTAGCCTCCGAAACCCACAGGGCCACCAGCCCCAGTGTTACGCCACTGGTGTTATACTGTTTGGGGTCTATGATGATGCAACTGTCCTCAACGCAAACCAATCGAAATGTGCATTTTAAAGACTAACACACGCGAAGGTGAAATGGTGGCCTCAATGATTAAGTGAGGAGAGCTACCTCGAAAAATAAGATAATACTGTATGAGGTGATTTTTATCTGCAGTACTTGAGCATGATTTTTTGCTTAAAACTTTTTCAATGGGGGGGGGGGGAAGCGGGTGGGGAACTGGGTGATGCAAGTTTTTTAGTGGGTGTGCGCCCTGTGTCTTCGCCCTGTGTCTTCCAGTACAACCAATGTCACTAAAATGAACCAATGTAGTACTTACAGTGATACGACTCTAAAGTGTGATTAATACAGTAGCATTGCATGGTTCTTTCATCTAGCCTATTTATCCTGTATGGGTATTCAGAAACCTGTTCTGTTCACTTTTAACACTTTATTTAATTAACTTATTTTGAATTAAAACTTAAAAGACAGGTCAATCATTGAGCTAATTAACAGTTAATTATGCAAAGATTATAGGATCATAGGACCAAAAGGTATATAGACCCTGTCAAAAAGGCATGCAAAATATGTAGCAACATGTTGGTGAACATAGGCTAGTTGAATCAGTCTTGGCTAGTCCTAGTTGAATAACATAGGTAGGTTTTCTCTAATCAAGTGGTACTTGCAGTGTTCTCCCAACTGAAAAATTTTTACTGGTAAATTTGTCCATAAAAAATTGCAATGCGCACAATGTAAGGTACGTTACCCCTTTTTAGTTGGGTTAAATGACTTGAAGACACAACAACACATATTCATAGTGTAGATAGACTGGAATGATGTTAATTTATTAAGAGGGCCAGCCTGGATTACCTAAGCCTAATCAATATTTTTTTTTATTTTACAAACTCAAAATTTTTACTGGTTGGTTGGTTATTTTTACCGGTAAAATTGACGGCTAAGACGGCTTCGGGAGAACACTGACTTGGATCATGGAAGAAATAGTTTTTCAAAACAAACTACAAAATGTAGTGTAGTAGGCGGCTGGCTACACTTATACATTATATAGTAACTTCTTAGTGTATAGCAGAAGCAGGCTAGGAACTAGAGGAGGACAGACCAGAAGAACTTTCTTGGTGTGTTGTGCACCATACTTCCCAGGCATGAATCATTATTTTAAAAAATCAGAGATATCAATGATCATACAGTCTATATATTTTTACTACCCATACCATACTGTACCTAAACCAACACTCTTAACAAAACCATTATCTTATCTAGAGATTAAAATCAATGCTGTAAATAGTTTGATTGTACTGTAGACAAGGCCTAGTAGAAATGTTCGAACAATACGCTTAGCCTAGGCCTAGGCCTAGATGAGAAAAACATCGACCATGCCATGGATGAGTCACGAACTAGGCTAAATCGTGTATGCAGGCCAGCAAGTGCCCCCTGGTGGTGTGCAACATTTTGCCATCTTCTTGTTGTCTGACCCGTTTGACTACAACAACCCGTCCTTATTTTATCGCCATTCAGAAAGAAATATGTTGATAAAAACCCTATATACACTATAAATGAGTGTTCTTACCGTATCTGATCAATTACATCATCCCCAGCCCTTGTCAAAACTATTGCATTGAAATCAAATATCGCGCTGGCAAATAATAAAGTGGAAAAAAGTAACTTGTCTGTTTGAATACATTGAGGGCGTCATACTACTAATGATTGCGAATGATTGCAGAGCCATCGATAGAAATAACATCTGAATGAGTGGGCCAGTTCTTTATTCTTAAGCGTTTCAAATGGAGGTGTGAATGACCCGGTACGTTCGGTCTCCATTCTCCACGTTTACCTTAACTTAAATTTTAATTTCAATTTAAACATAATTCCATTCAGTATTACAAATGAGGTAAATCGAAAAATTCATTTTAAGCATAATTAATTTATAGAGGCCTATATCTATATTGCAGTATCCTAATGATTGTCCTGATACTGATAGGCCTATCATTAACGTTCCGAATTGGTAACAAAAAGTCAAGATTAATTAAAAAATGAATTACATTTTTTCTGTATAGCAGCCGGCAGGGTGTAGGATTTTTATTCATTTGTATTGTTTTTATTTACCATATAAGTTAAAGGGAAAGGGTATGAATTTTTGAATGATTGTACCGTTTTTTGTTTTTTATTTACAATTTTAAGTTAAAATGGTGGGTAAAGGATGGAGAGGTGGTGTTAAATGGAAGTTTACATCTTGTTTGATGGTGGAAAAGTAGATACTGTCAACATCATTCATAATTGATGTATACTGAATATAGGAGAAATTCGTTGTTTACTGTACAAGAATTTAATAATTCCCATTATTTTGTCCATGTTGATCAGAATTATGAATTATATGTACAGCTATTAAAAAATCACCTTTATTATTCAATAAACACAGAAAATACATTACAACAATTGATAAAAAGAAAACAGCTCCCTAGGATCACGTTCTTTAAATAAATGACAGGGGTGGGGACCCCAAACAGATATAAGGAGGGGAAACAGAAAAACGAAAGTGGAAACAAAACATTACCGACAAGGAGAGAAGAGAAACATATAAAATTGTTGTGTAGTTGTGAAAAATGGGTAATCATTGAGAATATAAAAATTATAAATTACAGTCGACAACTATTGATTTATCTTGATTATGTAGGAGTATACTTTTAGGGAACAAGAGAATTACCGTGTATTCATGTAAAGATTGGTTGGTAACTGAAATGAAAAAGGGACAGGTTTTGTTTAGTTGAGAAGATTTTTGTTTTAATTGTTTGATTGGTTTTATATAAATTAGTTAATGTTTCGTTCTAAACAAAGTCACTACGAATAGCACTACCGTATATGGTATGCCGACACAACACTTTGATGCACACACACGTGAAGCATCTCTTAAACCATCGACAAGACGATGATCCCAAGAGC